AAGACAACCTGCTATTGAGTCTGTTTTATAACTCATAATTTTGTTGCTTACTGGTGGTTTGAAATTTTGCAAGTGGTTATAGCCTGCAAGTACCATGGCAATTGTATTCCAGGAAGGTGGGATTGATTACATTTCGTTAATATCTGGTATTCTAATGAAACATAGAAATAGATGTTGGTAGGTTTTAAGTTTGGGTCATCTAGTATTCGTTAAGTACAGTTAAGTTGAGTTGTTAAGTATATAGACTTTTTCTCATTAGGAAATTTCCTAAAGCTGATCTCTATAAGAATTCAGAAATGTAAATAATACGGCCTGATTTCTAAGTAGAATTAGACTCACTCCTCTTGACTTTTTCTGTTTGTGCTTTACTTTTCATTATTGTATATAGTGTTTTGCGTCTCTATGCAAAACAGCATCCAGAAAATCTGTCCCTCAAGTTTCTGAAATACTTTCTTTCTCAAATTTAGCATCGCTGTGTTGCTATTTTTAAAGACAAAGTGAACAAACCTACCGGATTTGCCCTTGGAAGTATTGAAGGAAGAGTAGCTATTCATTATATCAACCCCCCAAATCCGTGAGTATTGCTTTTTAAATCATCCTTTATTTATTACTCAGTTTACAATGAAGAATATAAAAATACTTCACTTTTTTTTTAATTTTCAGTGCAAAAGATAATTTCACTTTCAAATGTCATCGCTCCAATGGAACAAACACGTCAGCACCTCAGGATATCTATGCGGTAAGCACTGAGCGTATATCAATAGGGTAGCATATGTTTTTAATGTAAAACCTGCTATGAATTTGTTCTCCATCAACTTTTATTTTATGTAAAGTTATCTTAGACTTAATGCTTAAAGTGCAGTCATGATCATACTTGAAGAGGAAAGAAACTTTTGCAATTCCTTTAAAACAGAAGCCAAATCAGCTACTCATTGTGTAATCTTGGTGGAGACCACACTTGTTAATTTTGATGATTATGAACCAATCCTTAGTATATTGTGTAATATCCATTGAAGTTTTAGGTACTACAATAAAGATTCTTTCCTTGTTGCTTCAGTGTCTTGTTTCAAGAAATATCTGATTCTGATTCATATCTGTTGAAACACTTTAAAAAGATAAGAGCTATCTGTAGTTGTATTTACTTGCGGGATTTAGCACATGTTGTGAGTGTTCCAATCATCTGTGTACGTGTGTGGTGCTTTACGTGGTATTTTGTATGATTCTGCAGGTAAACGGGATAGCATTTCACCCTGTCCATGGTACTCTTGCAACAGTAGGATCTGATGGTAGATTCAGCTTCTGGGATAAAGATGCACGAACAAAGCTAAAAACATCAGAACAACTTGACCAGCCAATAGCTGCTTGTTGTTTCAACCATAATGGGAATATATTTGCATATGCTTCCAGTTATGATTGGTCAAAGGTAAGAGGGGTGTAGACCCATATTTACATTGACAGTTAGCAATTAAAAATTTTCCTTTCGCATGAGGCTTTTACTGTTCTTTGTAAATAGTGGTAGAGTCTTTCTAGCTTCATAGACATGCAAGAATATGTACAGTGGTCATTGTAGGCAGAAATCTGATGAAATGTAACACCGAAGCAGTGCGTTCTTTGTTTTTTAGCAGTTGTATAAGAGCACTAAACAAAGCTATTTTGCAATATTTTGCAAATGTGGGTGAACAAAATGTAAATTACATGATTCAGAAGTCATTCTTGTTGCTCACGCGTTCTGCTGTGGGGAGAGTCACCAGGCAATATGGAATGCTAACAGGTTCTCACAAATCTTTGAAGTGCATGTCTCTGCTTCTCATACAGATTCTTTTTAACTTAAAATAAGAAAAAAGGAAAAAAGCTGTAGCTGTGGTTGTAAACACTTAAGCCAGTGTTTGAATGCCATATACTAAATTTCCAGAACCACTCAGTGCATCTTGCTGGTGGCACTTGCCTATTTATCTTCCAAACTTGACTCAAAAACAAATCATCAAGATGCAAGAGAATCAACAAACCACAACATGTGGAGAATCAGTTCTTAATTGTTTAGGAAGGGGACTGCAACGGTGAAATGTAAATGATTTTTAATGGAATAGCAACAAGAGGAAACTATTAATTGCCTGTTACAACTAGTGCTGTTAAATTTGAGGATGCTATTTATAGCATTTTTGACTAAGTGCAGAGATCACGCAAATGAATTCTATTGCATGCAACGAAGAGAGTAAAATCTTAATTTACTTCATTGTATTTAGTCTTGTGAATGCTTCACAAACTAAGATAACTTTGTTAAATGCTGGGGCAGATAAATTCTGTTCTAAATGCTGGGTAGGCTGTGATGGCAGCTATGTACCAAAGTATCTTTCAGATCTGTTAACAAGTAGGTACCAAGTTTATTTTCTGGAACCATTTCTGTGAAGTAGATTTGGTAAGTTTCAAGCTGTGCATTGCACTTTAACAGCTTTATTACTGTTTACTCTCCCTGCTTTTGAATATTTGTGTATTAAGTTTGTAATGTGTATGTAAATAATGTCAATGTGCAGAACATTGTATTTGCATTGCAGTTGCCTGCACAACTTGGGCTTCATTTTGTAACTAAATGTGACCTTGTTTCATATAAAAGATGGGGAAAAAAACACAAAGTGAAACTAAGTACGCATTAAAGTTCTGTTTTCTTCTCTGCCTAGATGGACACAAACAAAAAGCACAGAGCTCTTACATTGCATCTATGAATCAGAGCTTAGAGATGCTTTTATTGATTTATTCTTTTTATGAAGAATTGTTTTATATCTTAAAAATAGACAAATGTTCTTTAAATTGTAATATTTTCTCTTTATAGAAACTAAACAGATTTTTCTTTTTTTCTTAGGGTCATGAATTTTATAACCCACAAAAGAAAAACTACATTTTTCTGCGAAATGCAGCGGAAGAGTTAAAGCCTCGGAATAAGAAGTAGTGAGTATGAGTCTGACTAGTGTTACTCTACTGTTTTTCTGCCATTCATGCCTCTACTCCACTGCTCTTCTGCCACTTGTGCCCTATTGCACCATGGTTCAGTCAATTTTGGATTGCTGACATTTAGCAGGATGTCTAAAAATTGTATTAAATGTGTTCTGACTTGCTGGAGGACACTTTTTCAAATAAGATACTTTAATGCGTATAAGAGAGAGCCTACTGTTCACAGGATTTAACCACTGTATATTCTACAGCAATAATGAAATTGCAGCAAAATTTAAGTCTGTTACTCCTGCTTAGAAGCTCACCCATTTGTATTTCTGTATTTGTTTTTGATTAGTACTACATTAAAATATGTTAATTATAATAGTTCTGGAGAAGTTATATAAATACTCTATTTTTTCTAAATACTTGAAGAATTGCAAGTAGTTCTTTCAAAGGAGGCTTGTTGTGTCTTAGTATTTAGGAGTCCTTTCATTGTTTTCAGATTTTTAAAATGGAAATACTGTCTGCTGTATGCCAGGAAGAAATGCCTTGCAAATTGTTTCCCCTTTTTTTGGATGAATTTGGTAGGTATGTAAGTGACCAATAGCAGTGACAGAAACTCAAGACAGAAGATGGACACAGTGCAAGTTCTGCTTTCCTTTATTCTTACACTCCAGCAATGCATATGACTTTTGAGCCAACGATACTCATTCTAGTCCAAAGGAGACCCTGCCAGTTGTGCCAAGTGGTGTATAGTTCAGTAATATGAGCAATCCATTAAAGGTTTTGTTCTGTTCGTGACCAAACCAAGGAGTGCAAAATGTGTGGCCTGAACTGCTTTAAAACTGACATTTTTAGAGTTAAAAGTTGGTTCTTTTACATCTCTATTAACCCTTTTTGCCCCTTAGCAGGGGGTTCTGGACTGAACAATTGATCATTTTTGTATTAACTAGAAAATAGTGCTGGTGAGGTTAATGCTGATCAAAAATGCTGTGAAGAAAAGTTACAACAATGTACGTCTCTGACTTGAATCTACCACTGTTTACTTTTAACTATCCAGTTGTATACATGCCAAAGTTTCTTTTTAGAAGTGAATGCGTATTATTCCTGTTTAACTCTTTTTGTCTGATGACTAAAAAATGGGGGCAGGGGGACGCCGCATGTATAAAAATACTTGTCATATTGTACAAACTCTGTAAGACTGTACGCTGTAACACATGGTTATGGATACATGCTATGTTTCAAATAAAATTTTTACTAAACGTTTTCTTATATTGAATGGTTCTATTATATTTGCATGGGCAAGGTAGTGTGCTTTCCTTCTAAAAGCAGCTTCTTGTCCTTTCACTGCAGCTCAGATACGTTTTCTAAAAGTAAAGTACTTCTGTCCCAGCTGCCTTATCTGGAAATCTAATGCAGCTTCCAGTTGCTGTTTCATTACAAATCATTCCTGTGGTTTTGCTGCAAAGAACTTAGAGGACTAGTGTTAAAGGCCTTTGTTTTATGAGAATGAATCAGTCTCCTTCTATCACAACAGCCGTACACCTGGCAATTAGTCTTTAGTACAAATGAATCATAACTGTCTTCAAAATCCCTGGCTTCCTGGCCCTTTAAATTCAGACTTGTTTCTTTAGTGTTCATCAGTTCCTGCTTAGTGTGCATCACTTACTTGGTGTATATTTGAGGAAAGTTCATGCTGCTGTTGTTTAAAGATGCTCTTCTCTGGGCTTTGTTTCTCAAGATACCTTTGTTCCTACCACTTCTATGTTCACGTGGTTTCAGTTTTCATATTCAGAGACTATTCCTTTTCTTTAAGATAGCAAAAAGTTCCCAGCAGCTGCAGCAATGGCTGGCTGTTGGCTCAAACAGATCTTGTTTTTTGTTGAGGGTGGTGGTGTTTTTTAGTTTTGATTGTTATGCTGTAATCTTTGGCTATTAGCGCATTTTTCCAGTCTTCTCAGTCAAATGAACACCAGCAAGCAGCTAGTATACTCAAGGTTGTGTGTGCGATTGTTGATGGCAAAATAAACAAATTCTGTGTGCAGAACTTCCACTGGTGTAAATAGGGAAGAATGGAATGTATCATCTGTCGCTTGTTTAAAAATTCTGTTTCTTTGTTTTAAATACATACCGTGAATGAAGTCAGGAGAAGATAGATTCATCCTAGTTCAGCATGTGCACTTACAGTGGTTCCCATGGAGCTGCACCTGCTTAAGAGGATACTGAGTGTAAGGAAAATATATTTTCCTTACGGAGCTAGCACTGGTAAGTCTCTTGTATGGTGGTAGAGTTTTGTATTAATAAGTACTTATTCTCCTGTTGGAACCAGTTTCTTTTTATCTCTCAGTGAGGCTTCAGAATTATTTAGTCATTGTGTTAATTGTTCAGACTAATTTTAGAAGAGCATATTTTCCATTACGTTGCTATGCGCATCAGATATATTCACATCAGATATATTCAATTGGGAAGACGAGACTCAAACTTTGAACTGGTTTGTTTTCCATTACCTAAGTTAAGAGAATGCATTGGCAATTTACTCCTCCCTGGAATTACTGTGATGTTCTCTTGTAAAGTACACACAGCTGTATCCCTTCAAGCCTCAAACATAAGAGAGAGCTTATTCATTTGCAGTTCAACATCATGGACATCCTAGAAATGTATTAACTTGCTATTCACTGGCAGTTACGTGTCCAAAAATCTTGAAGTAGAATGTAAGATTCTAATGTGTGCACCCAAAGCCAACCATAGAAATGCTAGATTAATTAACAAAAAGTGGTAAGTAACTTTTAAAATTTAATACTAAAGTTCATGTTTTTACTGCAGAAAAACTATTTTTGGAGTAAAGAGCAACTCAGTTTAAGCTCCAAAAAAACCACCAGGGACCCTTTATAAATATATTCAGATGAGCTACCTTAGCCTTCCTCCTGCTAGTCTTATACATCAGTGGTCTTGCACGTCAGTTTATAAGTTTTTCTGAAATATATTTTATTAAACAATTGACAAAAAGTTTCTCTGACAAATTAAAGCAAGACACGCTTGCAGAGTTGCAAGTAGTCAGGGTGTGTCTTAACTTAGAATCTATCAGATGGAAATGCAATAGATGAATTGGTGAGTGTTCCAGTCTAGTATCCTAAACCAGGAATGGATTTGGGATAGGGATTGGGTTAGATAAAAGTGCAAAATTTCAGGAAAAGTGCTGCTCGTGCCTGGTCAGATTTTAGTCGTGATTAAATGCTAAATTCTGCAAACTGTATGAAAAATCTGTAGCTCATACTTACTTCAAAAAGAAGGAATAGTTTTTAATGGTGCTCTGCCACGTGTTTCTCCAAGGTTTTTCTGCTTACCAGCCAAATGAGAACTATCACTTCATCGCCAGTACTGCAACAAAAAATAAAGAATGGAATAAACTCAGAATGAAAACAGCTCCCTAACAGAATTTTCTGCACCAGCAGTTGCAGTAATGCATATAATGCACTAAATGCCATTTAAAACTGTTGCTGTAAATCTCCCTTTATGCCAGGAGGTGGCAGCATTGATGGCTTCAGGAGAAGCATCGCGGGCAGCCTGGGCGGCTGCACACCTGCTGGGCTCTGCGGAAGGTCTCTGCAGAAAGCACAGCTACTCGTGAGCTAGGTGGTGAGGTATGGTGCCCCTTCCACAGTTCTTGCCTCTGTGTTAGCTGAAATACATTTGAAATCTTAGGTCTAAAACCAAAACGAACAAAAACAACAACAGAACACTTTAAAATTATCTGTAATATCAACACATCCCAAAATACGGAATGCAAGAAAACAACAATGCTTTCTTTTTGAGTTTTACAGGAATGTATGTGATATCTATCTGTAAGTGTAAGCTAAGACATTTTTAGAACAAACTATGAGGTGCTCTTTTAGCTACTCAGAGACATCTTTACAACTGCCTGAGTTTTGGCAGCCTAAGTAGTAGTATAAGTGTTGGTAGTATGTTTGGAGACCAGAAGTTTAAGGAGTTGAGATTTAGGTGAGCGTGGAGCTGAGTAAGCCTATCAACTGGATTACTGGCTACAAGCATTCAAATTAATTTATTTTTTAAGCCAAGTTTTTCTAACTTAGGCCATAAAAGGAGGCTCCAGGCTGAAAACTGGCAAGAAGTTCTTTTTTTTTTTTTCTTCTAAACTGGTTTTCTTGAAGGAAAACAAAACAAAAAAATCTAATTGAAATTCTTCAGTAAAACTAAATAGGTAAGCTCAGTGATGAGTTACTTAAAAAGAAGTGCACTTCCAAATATTTGAAATGCAATGTCTTTGGATTTTCATTTTCAAAGCTGGCAAATGCATGAGATAATGAAAGAGAGGAATAGTCTGGAGTTACAATATTTGGGTATGGTTTTAATTGCTTGTTTACATCACACAGCTATTTTGTTCCTGGGGCAAGTTTAGAAGAATAGAAAACATCTGCATTGACAGAATGTCATCTTTGCACACCTTAGGCTGCGAGTCGGAGTTAGTAGAACTGTTTTGGCCTACAGCTCATGTTCAAGCCAGGGCTAAAAGCCATCCAATTCTTATTCTGACGTAGACTTAGGTATAGGCAATAGAGACCCCAGCAGTTGGACAGCCATTTTAATTGTGGAAACTGCTACCGTTCTTCCCTTGCCAGGTCAAAATAAACACAGCAACACCAGCCGGCTGGCCCTGGCGGTTCCAGCAGACAGATACTCGTTGCTTTCATTGTGCAACATGTTCTGCGTACCCGTGCAGTAGCCTGTGTTCCCAACAACCTGCAGCAGGAAACAGGCTGGTGAGAATGCAGGCACAGGAGGGGCACGCTGGCATACTGCAAGTGCTGTGAGTTAAAGTGGCAGCCGGCTGTCTGCACTGCCCCAGCTCAGTCCTGCCTGACGCAGCAGCAGAGGCTGACGCAGCACAGGACTGGAGTGAGGATTACAAGTATCTATTTCACTTGGATCAGGCTAGTTCCTCAAATGCAAAGCAAACCTACCTTTATTTTTGCCGTTTACCTGGTTCTGAAATGGGGATAGCGCTGCTTCAGTTAAAAATGTTCACACTGTTGAGGATTTGCTTGTCAGGCAGTGGGAGGTTGAGGCAGTAACACAAAGGGGGCCATGTGCCTCTGGAACAGTTTCACGTTGGTAGAGCAATTCCAAATGTTTGTGTTGCATCAGTTCTGCAAATATTTCATTTAAACGGTGCATAAAAGATACAATACCTGTCAACACTGGCTTTGTAAAGAGAGACCGTTTTCTTCTGTTGACTAATTATCCAGTGAATATATTCAGTTTGAAGAGGCACTTCAATAATTTAGCAGGCATGTGCCAGGTAATATAGGAGCTTTTGTCTTACGAGTGGCATAGATCTTGAATCATGTGTAACTCAATCTCTGGCTTTATGTATTCAAGGAAGTGTTTCGTATAGCTCCCGTATCAAGTGCCGCTGAAAAGCAGGCCTAGATAAAAGATTAAGGTAGTGCTCTTAGCTCTGAAAAGGGAATGTTTACCCTTTACTATCCAGTATATATTTTGCAGGCTTTAACACTTTATGAATGTGAAATGTGTATATACTAAAATCTAATAATGAGCCTACTGTAACAATAGGAGAAAGCTGAAAACTGATGGTTAAATACCTGAGTCAATTAAGTCTCTCTCCTTACTTTATGGTGTATTAACAAATGTTTTGTAGTTTGATACAGAATGCTTCCTGACATTAATGTTTCTTAAATGCAAGTCATTAATAGTGCTGCATTCTTTGGTTTGCTGGACCAGATGAGAATAATCGTGTTCACTTCCTGGGAACACTGTGTAAGTGAAACTCAATAGATCTTCTTCAAACCTTTCCAAAGTATTTAATCACAGTTGTGCCTTCTCCCAGAAAGGTTTAATTTCAAATGCTCTTTTCTGAGCTACTGTCAAATGGCTCAGTCCTTTCTCTGCTGGCCTACAGTGCATCTAATCTACAAGAGAGGGAGATGCATTTTGCTTATAAAAGGCCACAATTATTGTACTCAAAAAAGTACTCAGACTGGAATCTAGCTGTCTACCTGCTGTAGAAAAGGATGTTTATTTTCAAATGGTGAAAACTAAAGTTAAAAAATACAACATTTATTATTTTGGAAGGACGGTTGTCTGCCCTGCTCCTGCTGTAACACTTGAGTGGGATTTGTACGGACTCAGAGGAACAGATATCACTTACCTGACGGGTAATTGCTTTCTGCAGACATCTGACTCTTTTCCTTGGAAACCTTCTACATAAGTTCATTCGTGGTCTAAAGCAGTAGGGCTGTCAACAGTAATTAGTTGTTTATGCGTTAATGTTTAATTGATGGGATGGTACCCAGTATGTAAAGAACAACTTCTGCATCTGTTGAAAGTTGTCAGACATCAAACAGTGTGCAGCATTTCAGAAGTGCATTCACTGGATTGAAATAGCTTTTCACAAAACCACAGAAAGATGGGAAATGTCTATTAAAAGAGAAGAGCTTAGCAAAACCATTTTCATTGAACCCTTTCTCTTCTATCGGGCTATTGTTCAAACACAGGCTGCGTGCTGCCGTTCGAGGCCTTCTCTAATGCTGACCTATGTCTTTCACAATGGCTTAGGTCATCCAGTTCATCATCTGAGCACCTTTCTTTGGTGGTCCTGCCAGCAGCGATGGGGAAATGAAAGAGAATATGACTGAGCTCTTCAAACTATTGTGAACATGGCTAGGTTCAGCGTAAAAGTTCCCCACTAGTAACTTTCCTATCACAGTCATCTGAGCATTTACTTGCTACTATCTTGCTCTTACTAGGCCTCCTTGTCTTTGTGGACAGTGCTGTAAAAGCTTCCCTTATGGTAATGAAACAGTAGAGTTGTTTTTAATTCTTGTAGGCTGATGAAAATTTCCTTTGAGGTAGGATTTGCCTTGCTGTTCCTGGCTGGCAAAATGGAAATCGTATCCAAGAAGGGGGATTTCCTGATGAGTGCTAAGCCATATGCTTGAGCTCGAATTTACTTCAAATAGGGATCAACAGATCTATCAACCCTTTTCTCTCTCTGAGAATACATGTAATATACCCTCTTAGTACCTTATGCTCTTCTCTGTGTGCTTATCCATTACCTAAAACCATGATACAGTAACTAGTCCATGAGATTTAGCAGGAAACAACCTGCTTGTGTTTCAGTTCTCATGTTTATCGATGTCACTGTCCTGCTGCAATGTTAAGAACATCATGTTGCTGGTAATTGCTTCCAAAGCTATTGATGGCTTTTCCCCCTCAGCAGCAACCACGATGCTGGAGTAGATTGAATGAAGTGTTGGACAGTAAAGAGCAAGATGATCCCATCTTGTGAGCTTTGACCTTCTGTGGCCTGTGACTGCCTTCCGTGGCAGCGTGGTAATGGTTTTTTGAAAAAGGCATACTTCAAACCATTCAAGATCACGTAGAAGCTGGAATCATTCTGCTTGAAGTTCAACCCAGGTAACTGTTTTTCTTTTTAAATACTTTTCTGGGCTCTATGGAGATGGTTTTTGTATCCAATGTTGATACGTTGTTTTGACGTCTAGACAGTTCAATTGTGCTCATAATCTGGGCAGCCACTGCTCTGCAATGAATCTTTGCTGCCTTGTGTTTGAGTAGAGTAAACATGGCAACTACAAGTCTCTAAGTGTTTCTAACCAAATCTCTGAAGAAGGTTAATTAGGCCTCATGCTGGTATCTACTTTTTTTGTGTAAAGTATTCTGAACTTGGCAGGTTCTCTCCAGGCATTAAATACCCTCTAAAAGTATCTGAGTTTGGAAGGGGGATATTGGGGCATATGGATTATTTATCTCATTAGACGTGGAAAGGCAGAAGAGTCTGTATGATTAAGATCTATAATATAGCAATTTGGGAAAGAGAACACCACCAGATTAAGGAGGTAATGCAGGTGGCTGAGACCCAGTATGTTCACCTGTGGGAAGCAGGATAGAAAGGGCCCTCCTGAGGTCTACCCCAGTGCTGTTGATGTATTCCAGCTCTGAATTCATTTTTCTTTAGCTGCTAAGAGCGTCTTCTATGCCCATACAATTGTGCAGAGCTGAGACATCTTCTTGAATGTTTTACTTTGTCCTAACTATTCCGTGGTTGGAGTGGGTGGACAGTTCCTGCTCGGTTTGTTTTGTGGTGTCACGTGCAATTCCATGAAAAGGTCATGGGATGTGGGCCTGTCAGCTCTGGTAAAGATTGTTAGGAACCTTCTGGCATATTCTTTCTTTTTTTTCTTTTCTTTTTTTCTTTCTAATCAGAAAATACCACTTAGTTTTAATATAGCAGCTCAGCAAATATTTGGGAAAAAATGTTTCAAAATGCCTGAAAATTTCTGCTTCCTTCCTTTAAAGAATATGAAATCGCTGCTTCCTCATTTTAAAATGTAGTTTATGGTTTTTAAAATGCTAACAAAAGGTTGAAGATAGAAGTAACATTTTCCCTAAGTACATTAAATGTAAACAATGAAACATTTGTTGAACTAGTTTGAGCTGTAAGCTTGGCAGTTTGACTCAGATGAAATGTATTTTCTATGAAAAATAAAAAATCAGGGAGGAACACCCATGTCTTTTCTTTTGGTCTCTATCTCTCTTCCTTCTTTCTTCCTTCCATCTCTTTCCCTTCAGATTTTGGGATACCTGAGCCTACCAGTTGGATAGGCTACTAGGTAGTCTAGTTGACTGGGACATTTATACACACAACTCCCAGGATTCAAGGGGAACTTGTGATAAACAGCACAACACAGACCATGGAGGAGACATTCCCCAAGAGCAGAATAACCAGCACCAGTTTGCATGGATGAATGTGGGCTTGACTACTCTAGGTGCACGGCAGCACCTTCACCATAAGCCCAGTGAAGCTTTTTTCCTTGCTGACCCAAACATCAGTGGTCCCAAATGTGGTTCATTCCTCCCCAGCTCTTACTCCCGGGTAAAGCTTGTCTCGATGATTATCCCCCTGTCAACAGTCCACCAGGATAGTCATGAACATCATCTGCAACATGTATATTAAGTGCAAAAGCATGTGGAAGAGAGGGCATCAAGCCACGGGGTTTTAGCTGAGCCCAGACTGGGAAACTTGTAGGAAACAATGATGGTGGTAGTGCCAGGGGGGAATCTTGCTGTCACAGTTCATCTGTTCTCATAGCTGGGAGCAGAGGGAGCTCCAATAGTGGCAGCACACCACAATAGTGAGTCAAAGTCATTTACCATCCAATGGACTTTGATTCCTAGCATTACCCAGTGACTCTATGTAACCAGTGTAGCCAGCAAAGGAAATACAGCTTGCTCAGCATCCCCAGTGCTGAAATGTTTCACAAGAAAAAATAATCCTATTGGAAGATTCCTACTAATGCCTGTTCAAAGAGCACTCCTGATTAGGAACATCCTCTATTCAAGTATTTTGTTAAAAGTGGCCTGAAGAGGAAGAATTTTTATTTTTTAATTCTCGTTGCAGCAGCAGCTCTGAGTTAAGCAATGGTTGTGGTATGTTCAGGGCATCAAAGCAGAAAATCAGACAAAGGGCCCAGATGCAGAATTTCCTGATATAACCTAAACCAAATGCCACTGAATGCAGCTTCCCTCAAGATCTCCCTGGTACGCTACTGTTCACAGCCTAGCTGGTGGCCAGCATCCAGACTCAGCATTAGTAAAACTAACAAACCAAACAGTTCCCACAGAAAGTCCCTTGCTCTTCAGCTAACTTATTTAACTGTGGAGCATCTGAGAGGGATGTTTCATCTACTGTTGTTGCAATAACCAGTGAGCGGGTATCCATGACAAAATCCAAGGGCACTGCCCTACAGCAATGAAGTCTTGGCTACGCAGCAGCAGCAACTGAAAAAGGTCAGAGCTCCACAGTAGCCCTGCTCCACTTTAAAAATAAAGCCCATCAATTTTGTAAGAAATGAGGGACATTCTTCAATGGCTTTCAAGTGATGTCCCAACACCATTCTCCCAAAGACACCAAAGGAAGAAGCAGAAATGTACATGAAAACAGCACCACAGAGCTTCACTGACATTCATGCTACCCATCCCTGCCAAGCGAGGGACAAGAACAGGAAAGACTTTAGAGCGAGGAAGGAACAGCACTAAATTCACTCCTGCAATGAATTTGCTACTCTTTTTCCTTTTTTCTAATCCTGTTTATGTGCTCCCAGGAGTACACTCCCTCTGCCGTAATTTGTTTTCCTTCCTTTAGACAAGGACCACTTCTACGTGGTTCTGTACCTGTTTGGTCTTACAGTGCCTTTGCTAAGATTTCTCAGCAGAATTGGTTTGGTGATCTGCAGCTGCTCCGTGTCAGGTCTTGGATAATCCTGCTGAAGTCTGTCCCCCAGAAGGAGCCTTTGTGTATCAGTTTTGCATAAGCCTCAAGGAATATATCAACATAAGTAAAAATATATTAATGCGAGTAAAAAGCCAGTGAGTTCTCCTAACTACGTTGAATTATCTTTAAATTGAATCTTCCTGATCAGTATTAGAATAGGATGCTCTGGGTTTGCAATACAAATGAAGGACAGCTGCCAGAGATCATTTTTCTCTCAGCCTGTTGATTGATCAGTGCAGTTTTACTTCCTAACAACTACACAGAACTAAAAGCAGCTGTACAGTAGCACGTACCACGTCTGTGTGCCTGTTGTCCATGGCTTGCTGCTTGCAGCCTCCTCAGCTTCATGCTAAGCGTTGTCCAGTGTTCCCCAAGGCAGCTTCATAGTCTGAGATACATCCGTCTCTGCGGGAGCTCCCGTTGACCACAGAAGCCTGCAATGTGCTCTTCTCAGGTACTCTTCTCACCAGAGAAAAAGCACGGGAAGACGTCAGCAAACTAGCTCTGCCAAGCTCCTGCGGTTTTGATCTAGTGGTTGGATTTAATCTGTGGGTGTTTTGGGGAGGATGACTACTTATCCTAAGAGTGAGGGGAGAAATGTTATATATAAAATGTAAATACGTAAAAGTGTACTATATATATAATGTTAGAGCAAGGTAGTTTATACATATAAACTCTCGTAAAGCCACCCTTACTCGTTTTCTCTTCTCTTTCCTGCTGTGTTTGTGGTAACAGCTCATCAGAGCCTGTGCTTTTAATAGCTGTACCATGAGACAGGAGATTTCATTTCCCATCCTGCTTTCCAGGGCGTGGCAAAACAAATGCACGCTCCCCCCAGCCATGCTAGTGGTACTGTGGGACTTGAAGTGCTCACTAAGAACAGGATTTACCTTTTTTTTTTTTTTTTTTTTTCCTTCTGTTCTGCCTGTGAGAGCTTCTGTTCCTGTCTCTAGGAAAGAAGAGGAACTGGGATTCCTCCTTTTAGAGAGATGGGGCTCAATGATGAGGAAAAGAAAATAGAGGAAGAAAGTATGTGATGTTTTTCTTCTCCTGACTAGTGTAAGCATCGGGAACTGAAATACTTCGGTAGCTTTTGAGAACTCTGGGAACCTTGCTTTCATTGTAGAGGAACAGGAGTCCATGTGGATGATTTGAATCTTTGCCATCACGTGGAGCAGAATGAGGCTCTGTACAGGACAGGGACTGAATGCCAGCTGGGTTGTCACTAGCCTGGGCGTCCCAGGAAGCAGCTGATGTGCAGTTTGTGATGGAAGTCATGCAGACAGAAGGGGTGTGACCCAGTGGCGCAGAAGCCCTGGCCTCTGGCTGTATTTTGCCCCTGAAGGTATGTTCTGGGCTTGTTGCTGTGACGGCTGGGGAGCTGCTGGTTGCACATCACACATCCCTGCATAAAGCACAGGCTCCAGAGGTCCCAACGTGACCGTCTCCATTTCGGAGGGGCATTAATGTTGCAGTGATGTGGGCACTGCTGGCCCAGCTCCATCCTTCTTCCACCGTAGTCAATGGAAACGTGTCCTAGTCTTGAAGTCTGGTGCTTTAGGAATGAAAAGCTTAATGGTTTTCCTTATTTTTTTTTTCTTTTATGAAGTATAGGGTGTTTAGAACTATGGAAGCAGTGCAAGAAAAATATTAATGAATAACTACAGAGTGCAGACATTAATGCATTCCTTTCTCTTGAAATAACTGGCTTTTCTCTGTGGGCTCTGTGGAAGAAAAATGTCTGCAGAGACTGAATCTGTTGTTTAGAAGCCAAAGTAGATGGAGATTTAGAGACTTCAATGGCTTTTTTTTTTTCCTGTTAAAATGTTACCTCTGCATTTATCACATGGCAAAAAAAAAATCTTCTTTCTCTGCCAATTGATAGTGCTGTAAAGGCACAATAAACCCAAGGCAGGGGGGCAGTTCTGGAGGTTCTGGCCAATGAATTTCTGGGTGATGGGAACTGCACCTGAGAAGTGATGTCTGGGACCCCCTCCCAGACCTCAGGCTCCAACCAGCACCAGGGGGAGAGGAATTAAAGCCCTGTGAGCAATCCACGGCGAGAGGTGGATTTTGAGGCACTAAGTAGCTTTTCGGCTTTTGTTTTCCAGCAGTTAGGAACAGGGGAGCATGGATCAGGCTGTGGGGCTGCTCTCCTGGGGCAGGACTTGCAGCTTCCCTGGGTCAGGCTGCAGCCAGTGGGGCACAGCAGGGGCAGGGACCTCAACCGGCCTTGGAGGGACAGGGAGAGGAACCGGGTGGCACAGGAACACCTCGCTGCTCCGAAACCACCGGGATCCAAAGAGCAGGAGGGAGAAGCAGAAACCTCAGGACCTTGTTAGGGGCCTCCTTAGGAACACTTCAGCACTCCTAGCTCTTCCTCAGAGAGCAAGGACCTTAGCCTCCCTCCTCAAGACCACCCCTTGGTCACTTTGTTTCCACCACGACCACATCCTTGCGGTTCCCTATTTCCCCTATGCCCCATATCACCCTCACACCCCCTATCCCCCTCACATCCCACCTCACACCCCATATCCCCCTCATAACCCACCTCACAGCCCCTATCCCCCTCATATCCCCCCCTTACACCCCCTATCCCCCTCATATCGCCCCCTCACACCCCATATCCCCCTCCTATCCCCTTCATATCCCCCCCCTCGTCCCCTCAGGGACTACGCGCCCCGAGCTCCCCTGCGCGGCGGGGCGGGCCGGGGCGGGGCGGGCGCGGCCCTACAAAGGCGGCGGCGGCGGCGGGCGGCCGCTACTGCCCGGTACAGGCGGGAGGGGCGCGGCGCCGCCCGCGCTGACGGGACAAAGCGCGGCCATGAGCCCGCTCTAGGGCCCCGGGAGGCCGCCGCAGCTCCCCGTCACCGCTCCGGGAGGGAGCGGGGAGGGGAGTGGGGGGGACCCCGCGTTGGGGGTCCCGGCGGGTGGGGGGTGTTTGTCGCCGCCGCCACCACCACCGCCGGGCACCATGCACACCGTGCAGAAGGACACCACGTTCACCAAGATCTTCGTCGGGGGGCTGCCCTACCACACCACCGACTCCTCCCTCAGGAAGTACTTCGAGGTCTTCGGGGACATCGAGGAGGCGGTGGTGATCACCGACCGGCAGACGGGCAAATCCCGGGGATACGGCTTCGTAAGTGCCGCTGCCCGGCCCGGGGGGGAGGCTGGGGGTGGCAGTGCCTTCAGGGAGGTGGCAGTGCCCTCAGGGGGGTGGCAGTGCCCTCACAAAGCCTGGGGGGTGGCCGGGACCCCCGCATCTCCCTGCCCTGAGCCCCCCAGTGCTGCCTGCCCCGTCTCAGCCTCCACCGTCGGGGGGTTTGGGACCGGCTCCGTTAACTTGGAGGAGCCCAGGGAGCAGAGGGAAGCTTTGGCCATGGGGAGCCGCTTTTCCGCCAGGTGCCCCCCGTCTCGCTGTGTCAGGGTGGTTTGGAGAAGCGGCGTTTGGCTCCTGGGTCAAAATAGATGAGCCAAGCAAACAGCCCCGCTCGGTGCCTGCCACTGCCGGAGCCTTCCCCCAGTGCCGCTGCCACAACCGAGGCTGTGCTTCCTTGCAGGTGACCATGGCAGACAGAGCTGCGGCTGAAAGAGCCTGCAAAGACCCCAACCCCATCATCGACGGCAGGAAAGCAAATGTGAACCTGGCGTATTTGGGAGCAAAACCGAGGAGTATTCAAACTGGTGAGGCAGCCGGGAGAGCCCGTCTCTAACTAGTAGAATAACTTGTAAGGCGAGGGAACGAGTTACTCGGGCTGGGTTCATCTGATCTGATGGTGCGTGCTTATCCCCCCTTGTTTTGCTCATGGACTGAGGACACTGTAATGCAGTTTCCTCTCTTCCCTCACTTCTTCCCCGTCCCTCTTATGCTAGCATTATATGCCAACATACACCAAAGTTCGTATAACTGAGTTAAAGCCATTTCCTTCCATGGCTGGTCTGCTTTGCTGCTCTCTTCTTTCATTGTTACATCAGCATTAGCGCTAAGATCCATTCCGTCATTCTGCCCCTTGGTTTAATTTTACACACAGTACCCTGTGTAAAGTAAGGTATTATCCCCATTGTCTGCTCTGATAGCAGCACTTGAGCACTGCTCTTTAATCTGGGCTCCCATCTGGCCTTTGTGCATATCGCATATGCATATTAAAATTAACTTGCTTCTAAATGGGACTCTAAATTTGCTCACATGCATAGCAGATGAAATGGATGTACATGTGGTCTGAGGTGTAGTTACGTGGGTATATTGTGAGTTGAATGGTATGGTGGATGCCATTCATTAATATATTTTTTTTCTGAACCCTTTTTCTTTAGGTTTTACCATAGGTGTGCAGCAGCTACATCCAGCCTTTATTCAGAGACCCTTTGGGTAAGTGGACATGTTTCTTAACAGTCAGTTTGAAATCATATTCATGAATCAACTTCCTCATTATTTAAAATGCATGAAAAAGCCTTAGCTGTAAGGAGTGGACAGTTTGAACAGCTGTTGTTGATGCGTGGAGTACTTTATTTCTGGTGAAGATTTCAGAAGTTTTGTGCATTTGTCAGCTTTCATATAATTCCCAAAGATCCTCCTTTATCCTCAGTAAATCTTAGCCATAATAAGCCCACTGCATTGCTCTCTTCTTTGCCAGCTTCAAGAATTCAAATAAATGGAAAATAGTTTCTCTATTGCAGTACTTAAGGTGTCAAAACAATTAAGCAAATTCTGCTCTCATGTTTCTCAAATAAGATCTTCTGCTTCCTCTCTGCCGTTTCCCACATAATAATGCTCAGGGTACAGTTTTATCCTAGAAAACAAATTGCATTGGAAACAAAGTCTGTTACTTAATGAAAGTAACATTAGGTCAAAAATTGATTTTGGACAGATGTTATACAAGGCTTGAATAGTCTGCAAAAGTGGGCTTTTGTCTGCTGTTTTCAATAGCTTATACCATCCCTACTCAGTTAGAAAAGTCCTCTTTTTATACATCTAATAGGATCTGGCAGCTGCTCGGGAAAAGACAAGTGTGCTTCATGAGAACAATAGTGACTGTCATACTGCCTTCATTTAACTGTTTAATGATTGATGCAGTTCTTTTTTTTACACCATTTCAGAAAGTGAATATTGATAGGGTTTTTTTATTATTATTTTCTAAGAGCATTAAGAAAGTAGGTGCATTTTTTAAAGCTTTTGAGAACTGCTCTGTTGTGGTTTTTATGTGACTAATATAAATAGATGGGATCTTGGCCTTTGTCAACAGAAATATTTCATCCATTCCCTGTTCTCTGTTCATAGCATTTTCTTTTCTTTTCTTTCTTTTTTTTGGGGGCGGGTGGGGGGAGCAGCTAACAACAAAACAGAAACTTTCGCTTCTCTGCCAACTGCCTGGGTAATCTCATTCCAATGAGTTTATGGATGTAAGAGGCTGTGTTGCCACAATAGTGCACACCCAGTGTATGTGCGCTGTGTACGGTTCAAACACGCCAGTTTTCCTAAGTGGTTACGACTCTGTTGGAAAGACTTGAAGAGCATCTGTCATGAAACGAGGAGGGTTTTTTGGTGCAAGAGCCACAATAGTCCAGGTAGGCAAGCTGTTGCTCTTCAACAGCTGTCCTCGCATGGGAGCTATAGCAGCTTTCCTAGGATCAGAGGCAGGCAGCATCTCTGAGATGCAAACACCGGAGGCTTTCCAAATCGCACAAGAGCACACAATAGAAGTTGATGATAAAACCCAGCATGTTACGAGGTTTACCATGCGTGCCAACAGAAAAGAGCAAAATGGTGAAGCGTGTTAAAGCCCTAGTGCTGGCAGGAGCGTCAGCTCGCACCAGCTCCCCTTGCAGATAATCTGCTCTTCCCGCATGTGCTGCTCCTACCCAGCACCACAGCTCTGCAGCTGTGAAAAACGTGGGTTTTCTTTTTGAACAGTTTGCTCTTAGTTTCATGTAGAGAGGAGTGTGGGATCAACTGACTCGGTGTTCCTTGTGATCTAGACAGTTACTGTTCCAGTTCTCCGGCATTGGTTCCATCATTAAACCAGCAGAGCTGCAGTGAGCACATACAGCAGAGAGCACTGTAAATTATTTATCAGTTGCCAAGAGAC